TATGGTTTTTACTTTTGGAACTATTATTATACGAATAAATATCTCAAAGTTTGTGGTCCTCAACAAAAATGTTACGATAATACGACGAGCTTTTGTCTCGATAATAACGGCACAGTATGTCCAATAGGAAGTCAGATTTGTTCTGGCATATGTTATAATCCACAAACACAATATTGCAGTGGTGGCAACAATAGTGTTTACTGTCTAAGCAATCCTTCATCATCAATCTGTGCTTCCACGGTCACCAGCTGGAATAATTCAACTTCTAGCAGCAAAACAACTGCTGTAGCTTCCAGTACTTGTTGTACAACTCAAAACTGTACGATGAATTCTGATTGTTGTCAGTCTGGTTTGACGGAATGTCAGTGCTACCGACACTCCCCAACTGATGTTTATGGTTCATGTGTTAACCCCTATGTTACACCGATCTGTGGAGATAGTTGTCCAGTACAAGGTAGATGTAAATATGATTCAGATTGTTGCAAGTGTCAATGTGTAGATGTAACATTTACTGATTCAAACGGACAATTAATTACAACGAAACAATGTATGAAACGTTAGAATCTTACATTCACTAATATGTGAATAGAACCGTTTGATTTAGGACTTAAAAGTACACTTGTTTACTTGTTATTTTAGTATCGATCCTATCTTTCATCTTCATAGAAGGCAAACCTTCCGATGAGCTCGATTTGTTTTGAAAAAGAGGAAAAAAATCTATTAATATTTTTTAAAATCCATTTTAAACTGCCTAACTTCCTAATGTTATCGCTCTCATTTATCTTTCTTTTTTCTATTCGATATTTAAATGGTTTTATCTATTAATAAATTGAAAACTAAATGTGATCTGAATACTTTCAATTGAACTTTGCATTTCTTTTGAATATATGAGCTGAACTGAATATATATCAAGACATTTTCGTGTTTTTACTATTTGTGTATTATGAATGATAGGTTTGCTTAGGTTAACCAGGATAAGTCTGATTCTGTTGAACGATCGGATACTTTCCGGCGTATTCTAGTTATTTACATCGTTTTCCGTTGAAATTGGGTGACGGAGTTCACTAATTTCCGAACATATGGCTCAAGTCAAAAACGATCAGATCCGATCGACAAGACTCGTTGGCATCCGACATGATCCAGCAGTATCCGCAGCCAGGAAATCTTCGGAGTCTATAGCTTTGAACTACGCTTCATTTTTGAATAAAACTCCCAATTCTGAGCATCGGAATATGTTAGTTTGTATCAGAATTAAGCAGTTCCATTCGTTGCTTTTTATCGTCTCTAAGAATAAAGATCTGACTAGAATCAGTTACCTATGATCATCGGGTGTGGGTGTGGGTGGGTGTG